CTTTCCATGTAAAACAACTGGTCTCTGATATTTCTGAAGTGACAATGAATGCAGCACTTAGGTACATTCAGAGACAGTCTATTATGTGAAATAAGCTTATAATTTCTACTCACTGTTAACTGCTGTGGTTTTCTAGTTGAAATTGTTTGTAAAGGAATATTTTCTTCTTGATCCTCATGTGTGGAGGCAGATTGAGGCATTTTTGCAGTTTTTATAAAAATTCTTCACATTACAGTATGCTGATGTACAGAACCAACCAATTCTTCTTATCTTTCAAACACACCCATTTTAGATGATAAATGCATGTGACAATGCACATTGATTTGATAAGTTGTTATCTAATCAGTTAACCCAAAGGAAAGTATACTTGCAATAATGACGGCCATTCTAAATTTAAACTCTAGTATTTATTAATACATTTAAAGGATCAAAGAACAGAAATTTAAACTACATAACCACTGTAAAGATCAAGTGAGGGAAGATTAGAAAGATTAGTAAGCAGGCAGACAGACTGGTAGACATGTAAAAGGTGTGGTTATGAGATGAGAGAAGAATGGAGTAAGATTTGACCTAAGATGACGCAGCCTGGTGGATGATGACGATGATCCATTAAAATATTAAAGAGTAGTGACAAAAGTTATCTTGATTTGGCAGGAACAAAAAATTCACACAAAAGAACTTTTATAGGTTCTGTTTACACATCAACTTGCATCATTGATTGAAAACGTTTGTGCGTTTTGCACTGTTTAGAGTGTTTGGTTCAGCTCCTACTCGAAACTGTAATAGAATCACCATATGTGACACCATTGTAGCCAGGAGCTGAAATATGAAATGTAATTAATTAACAAACTTATTGAACATAACTTAATTCTCTAGTAGGGAAACCTGAAGACTCAACACTGTTATTTCCAAAGACCACTATTGGACCTGATTTTTAACCAATTCAGTCTACCTCCTACCCTCACAACTTATTTTCCTAAGATCCAGCTTAATAATATGTTAGTTCTGAGAAATCTGCTTCTAGCTACCTAACACAGGAATCTGTATAAGGAAAAGTTCTTAACCCTGTGTTCAACGCACAAGTTGGAGTACCATCATATCAGCAGTTCATTAATTTTTACTCTTCATACAGGACAAATCACAGTCACTAATGTACAATGTATTGTAACTGTTTATAAGGGGATATTAGAAAGCCAAGTAACTTATTACTAATTTCTTGTAACACAGTGAGTAAGTTAATGCATCATGTTCTTCCCACATACATGGTTTGTGAATATTTAAAATCTACCACAAGTTTCACAGATTCTAAAATCAAAGATATTTTTTTCCTAATAAAATCAAGATAATCTTCAAATGATTGTACATTATAAATGTAGCTTTAAAGAGTTGAAAATGTACTATGAAGGCTTACAGACAGCAGAAGATTCCTATTGACTGTAACATATCCACCAAGGCTAATCACTGGAGGATTCATGGCCACATCATACTGGAACATATTCAACTGTAAAAGAAGACAAAGAAATCTCTGATCAGATATAAAAGTAAAGCAGTCCTGCTACATGCCATGTAGGTTGCTTGAGGGGAGAGGTGGTATAGCTCCTACTCATTCTTGACCTCGGCACTAGATCGGGGTAAGTGGCCTGGCCACACTTTACCCCTGGGAAAGGACCCCCAGAACCCATTGGATAGGAGGATGGGTGGGCACCAGAGCTGGTCTAAACGCAGAGGCTAGAGAGAAAATCATCTGCCCTGTCAGAGATCGAATCCCAGTCGTTCAGCCCGTAGCTAGTCTCTATATTGACTTAGCTATCTCGGCTCACACTCTGATGAGGTGCAGACAGGTTTTAGTCTTTATAATGTGTAACTCTGTAGCTTTAACAGCCCTGTGTCACAACACATGTGCAGTCCAGCTGCTTGTGCATTGCAGTAGCAAACTGCTAACCATTGAAAGCTGGAGTGAAAATCTAGCTGGGTCTTCCACAGTACAGGATTTTAAATCCCCTGTTCTCATATGATAAATATTAAAGAAAAAATATTTATTTTGTTAATGACAATTGTAAAGATGTGATATTTGGTATTTCAAAGCAATGGATAAAACTGACATATAGATAAGGCTGTGATGAAACTCTATATGTATTCAATCAACCACAGTGTATAACAAATAAAACTACTGGAACTATCCTCATTTTATTGTAAACTGTAATTTATCACTGTTCCACATTACCTCTTGTCTGACTTCTTTGTTCACTCCAAGATGCAAAGTCTGTAGAGTGCAATAGAAGTTTGGACCCATCTGGCATCAGATACAAAAAAAAATTAGTTTGTGTATGGTTATATATTTATATGTAAATTGTATGTATGTAAATGTAATTTGAAAATGTAAAATGAAAACTAAAAATTAAAACAAAAATATTAAAACTGTAAGACCAACTATCTCAGTATTTGGTATCAAAACCAAAATGTATAATTTGGCTTCTGGGTACAAGTTCAGACAGACAGATAGATAGCAAATTCAGATGGAAATCATAAAACTAACCTCTTCAGACAATCTCTGTCCTGCATCACTGATTACAAAAAGCACTGAAGTACACAACAGAGCATTAGCTAGAAGTGCAAATCCCCTGAGGTCAACTCCATGATCCAAAATTCCAGTAAGACCTCCATAGAGAGAAAGTGTAAGGGCTGCAAACCATATAACAATGATGACTCCATAGATGTAGCAGACACAGTCTCCCATCTTACGACTTAACCGACTTAAATCTTGCCACAGTGAATGATAATCACTTACTTTTCTTCCATTTCCAAGACCCTGCAAAACACCAAGAAATCTTGTAATCCATGTTATTGGTTCTCCATAATCATTTGGTAATTATTCAACTAGTCAAAAAATGTCATACCTTTACTTATCCTAGAGTTTCTTTAACATGTTTACAAATATAAATTTAAATATTCATAAATGGTTCTTCATATGGACTAATAACAGTGATGGTGATGATGCAATAAGTTAGATAGTACTATCATCACCACCATATTCATCATCATGAACAGTCTCAAGACCTGTTCCTATAAAACTCAAGGTTCTCTTGGTCTTCCCCTATCCCATGATCCCCAAGGGAGGGCTAATTTTGGTAGGTGATTCCTGTCTATTCGTTTCAGGTGCTCTAACCAGTTCTTACAATACATTTTTGTGTTTTCTAATATGTTGTTCACTTTTAATCTGTTGCAAATGTCAGAGTTTCTTTGACAATGCAGTACTGTAATGCCTAATAATGGTCTTAAAGACTCATTTGTGCAACTTCCAGTTTTTGAGTATCTCTCTTGTTTATAGCCCAGGTTTCTCTGCCATGGCAAAAAGCCACTTTAGAAGTAATCGTCATTTCGTGCCTATTGCCATATATTTTCCAAAATTCCATTTGATTGTTCCAGACATTTTTTCTAAGTGACTGTATATATGATAAGTTCTTCCCATAACTTATACTTTGTTATTTTGGGGCATGTAAGTGCTTTTACCTGCCGTAGTATGTTCACAAGACGGTGTGCAGTTGAGGTCACACTGTAGCACATCATAAACCACAGGGCAATGTGCAGGTGTACTAATGTGCAGGTATAACTGTAGCAGTAGATCTCCCATAGCTTGAACTCTGGCATCACTAACCAGTCTACCACTATGCTTACAGTGGTGGACAGTGGAATCAGCACTGCCAATATCACAATCGCTTTATGCCATACTTTCATATGTAGAGTGTTGCCAGTAACATGCTCAAAATGGGTCTATATAAGAAATATAGTACAATGTTAGTGAATACAAAATTCATGTAACCTAGTTAAATATATAATTTAAATGCCACAAGAAACAAGAATATGGCTTGAACGCTTTCTGTTATCTTTTCTGCAATATTCCACAACTGGGTTTCATTTTGTAAGCAAACTGAAGACATTTTTTGTACTTGTGGGTTATTGGGACACGTCGCTTCAAAAATATGTTAGGTTAGGTTAGTTGTCATTTATTGAAATAAAATATAATAACTTTCAAGTATATGTCATTTATCCACACACATTAACCTAACCTAACATATTTTTAAAGTGATGTGTCCCGATAACCCACAAGTACCACATTTTTATTGCACCTCATTTACAAAATATTCTGCTGATATACTGCATTTCATTATATGATTTCAGCTTAAAGAAATTACATTCCTATGTCCTTATGTAATCAACTTTCTTAATCATCTTCCCATCTCATTCAAAGCTGTATAAACTCTGCAGTTTTGAAAGTATTGTTAAGTAATCTAAGAATCAATAAAATCGTGAGATTTGAAGTTCTGGCAGGAATAAAGATGTCAGTGTTGGTCTTCTGGGTTGTAACATCGTGTGGACTTGTCCACACGATGTTAATTCCAAAAGACCAAATTCAACAATCGATTCCATAATTTGTTCATGTGTCAAGACACAAGCAGAAGGCAAGGTTATTCCTGCTTTGGTTTGGAGTCAATTGTATCAAATTTTCATGTGCTGTAAAAATGTGCACACTCAGATATCTGCACTGCTCTGCATTGTGACATTATCTGAAGATAAATGAGCTAAGGCACCTCTATTTAAAGTCACTTGAAAGAAATATAAGGTATATATGACAAAACATATGAAATTTGAGGTGTTAATTATAATGTATATTTCTACTGTGGTCTTCTGGGTTGTGCTGTCATGTACCATACATGAGGCAAGTGTTGAAACTGGACTGAAACGTGCCGTAAATAATGTTGCATAGCAAGGAGCTCAGCCTGCATCATAGATTGGTCCACACGGCTGTATCTTTCCTCTTTACATTATTAGCCTGTGTCACTGGTTTCAATAGTCTTGTAAGTAAATACCAATGCTTCACAGGAACAACAGCACCATGAACCAGAAGACCATATTTTTGAAATATGACCAAGTGCAGGACGCAGCCTTGGCAAGTATTAACCAAGAGGATGACAGCAATTAAAAAGTTTAAATATAATCACCTGGAAAGTCGTCCAGTCATTCAAGAAGCAGGCTATTTGTCCTGCCTGTATCCAATTGCATATTGGAACTGCAAAGTGAGGAGCCAGGTACACCAAAAACAAGTAACCATTCACTATTTCGTCAAACTCAGAAGTCTTCAGGGCTCTCACCTCCTTCAATTTAACCAAGCCAGTATACACAATACATACTCCAACAATAACGTAGATTGTAACAGAATATAGCGTGGCTATAAAGGTTTGTTTAAACACAGGCTGACCACATCCTAGAAGAGAAATAACTCGGATTACCTGGTATTCTGTAACTTACTAACTCCAAGGAACAGAGTCCTTCTGAAGAAGGTACCAGTCCTGAGCCAGATTTATGCAATCCACACTCTCAAAACCTATTTCAAGATCAATTTTAACATCTTCCCGCCCATGCCTAAGTTATTCTCATAATTACTAACAAGAATTCTTTGGAATACTGGTGTAAAGAGAGAAAATAACTCAGATGACTTGTTTGTGAGACCTGTAGATTATTCTTACCATAGTTAACTTACTATTAACTAAGGGTCGGGTGGCTGAGCAATAGCTCAGGTGGTTAGTCACATGTTTCTCATTGCATAGGCCCAAGTTTGCCCACAGGTCAGTCAATGCAGAATTTGTGGTAAACAAATCAGCACTTGGACTAGTATTTCTGCAAGCTCCTTGGTTTTCCCCTGTCAATATAATTACACTACTGCTCCACATTTACTCATGTATCATTTGGGGATGGACAATACATCTGTAGGCAGCAAAGTTCCACAGAGACAAAGACTCAGCCCACTGCAACAACAAAAAGGGAGGTCTGGTGGTGTAGGAGCAAGACTCTGTCTATCTTACTTTTCTCACCGCTATAAACGTCAGAGTACAATACCGGGCAGACTTCGTTTAAGGCACTACATTCTGAACCAGAGGGTACAATGTTCAGACCTCTGTCAGATCAGTATGTGGACTTCTGAGGTCATAGACAGAGGCTTTTACCTCTGTCAAAAGTAAAATTTGGAAAAATGAAGTATACCAGGCCCTCACAGAAACTCGGAGCCCCTCTGTCAACCATCATCATCATAATCAACATACATTGGGTGCGGTACAATTTTCCCACTTAAGAAATATATTCTAGACCTGCTAGGGTCAGTAGATGCTAAAAAACCAGGGGCTATTAGATTCTAATGAAAGCTGTGTAAACAGTTACCTGTTGCTATCTTTTCCACTGGCAGTGCTCCTAGTAGACGTAACTCAAGCCACAGAGGTTTCAAAAGATCATACAGATGGCCATGTACAAGTCTTATAGGAGGTTCTGGCTCTACCCTTCTGAAGAGAGGAGTGCTGTTGATATGAAGCATTGTCATCGTTGGATTCTGATTGCACCTTCAGTCAGGATGTTTGTAAGGCCTGGCTGAGGTATTATATCTAGAACATGGTTGGTGTAAGCAAAAGAGTAAATGTAATTAAAGAAAATGTATTCTTTGTAATTCTGCATGACCCACAGACCTTGATGTTCATTTACTGAACATATTAATACAAATTACTTTGTTAGAAAGCTAACCAGACTACACAGAGTCAAAAATTTATTATTTATTTTATTAAATATTAGCCATATTAAAGATATTTGAAATATAACTTGCCAATTCTGTGTATTATGAGTCAATGTTGCCCATTCAGAGCCTCATGTATGGACAAACTGACCTTACAGTACCAAATCAGCCATATCAAATGCAAGAAATTAATTCAATGGTATAAAAAACAGATGGGACTCCCTGTTATGTGGTCATTTTATGCAATTCGTGCAAAGAATGCGTACCATTATGAACAGAAATAACTTAAATTACAATTTTTAACACAGAAATTTCAAAAAAAACGTTCGTAGCCCGAAACTAACATAGAACATTTAAACAGTGGCCGGGTATCAAAAAGCAGTCCGGAACGAAAACAAAGATTGTTAATAGTGACCGGAACTAGGAAAAAAGTTCAACAGAGTAGCTGGGTCTCGAAAATTGAGACTTTCATTTAACAACAGCCCCCGAGTAATACAGAAATTGTAAATAGTGGCTTTGTACCAGAACAGGAATTTCAAATATTATTTGAAATTTGTGAGGGCTATCATAATTACAAACGTTTACAGTACAGATCAAAACGACGACGAAATAATAACTTGTGGTACTAACGGTACGATCTAGTATACGTTCTGTACTTCAAGCGAACACTGTAAGAACACTTCCATTTCCTCCACTGCTCAAGCCCCAACTGACAGTAAAACACATTTCAATACATACCCAATTCCTCACCAGGTGGAAGTCAGCAACGAAAATACAATTTACGAAAAATAAATCGTTTAAAATTGCTGAGCTATTGGATGTTAGAATTTTTTTTTTTTTTACATTTTTACGAACTTCGCAGCGGGGAAAATTTACGTGCATTTCGCTATCGGCCATGGCTGGAATGTGACCATCATTTTTACAGTTTCCGAATAATCTCAGCATCAGTTATGTATTTATTTTGGGTGTATATGTTTTATTCACTTTCATTTCGTGCATTTTTCTTTCTTTCCCCGTATATTCTCTATTTTCTTACACCCTCATACACTGTTCTTTTCTCACTCCTTCCCATTTCTTCGATTCTTATTTACCTTTCTTTGCTATCTTAATTTTTCCTTCTGCTTCCTTTATCTTCTATCTGTTTCTCTTTTCTTCTGTGTGGTTAAGAATTATTTATCTCATTATGGTTATAATTATAACATGAGGTGAATATTTCGTGGCACACTGGCTTAGAACATCGAATTTGCTCCTTGACACCTTTCGACTAAAAACTTCGTAATTTCTTCCGTCCTTTTGAGAGATTAATTTGAGCACATTAGAAATATACATGTTTTAAAACGAATAAATCAGGTGCACACTTCTGTGCATGTGTAAATCTCATTCTTCTACAAGAGGCGTAATAATGTAAAAACCTATAAGATAAATAAAAAAATATGCGGATAAAATAACTTGCTTTCTTGATTTCTACACTCGAGAGAAGTTAAAAATATAGGTTACGTAACCTACAAAGGTATTTCGAACGAAAGTCGCAGGTTATCACACCTGCTTCGCATTCGGTATATTTTTTAAACGATTGTTGTCCTAGAAGTTTGTCTAACTTGATATTTCCCTCAGTTACTCCAGACAAACACTGCTATTGCATTACTTCCTTCCAGATCCCTAAAAGTTAATCCATCACAGTTACTCCAATATTTGTCCCTATATAATCTACGCAGTTGGGAAAGCGTGGTTACAAAAAACAACAAAATGTATCAATTATTAGATCAAGAATTATCTCTGTAATCTA